AAATTCTAAAGAAACTCATTATGCATAAAAATATTTAAGGAGCGCCCCACAGTTTTACTTTTTAGTTACTAATGTCCAAAAATATTCTGATCAGCTGGTTACGGCTGAAATTTGTATTTTTTAAAATTTTTAGTACACTGGTTTATAAAAAGATTAAGGAGTTTTTTTAGAGATGTCCAGTCTGGGCGGTTTTGTCTACAGTCGAAAAGGTGGCAACCTTCGTGTACCTTTAGCGGCTTCAGCATCACACTGGAGATTACGGTGAATTTTTCCCTCAATATTTTGCCGTCTTTTTTTTGATTTTCTGTTTGCACTTAGTCACATATTCACTTTAAGATTTTTTTTTCATGTTTTGTTTTCTGTTTGTTGCGGTTGCACCCGATTCAAGAGCTGAATGGCTCCCAGGGCTATACCTAATAAATTAACTTGAACTTGAAGACACCCACAATTGCGAAACACTCTTGGTGATTCAATTAAGCATCGCAATTCGATTGTATTATTTATTACCACTGCCGACACTGCAGCGCCCTCTAGCGTCTGCAGGGGGCTCATGCGGAACTCACTGCACAACGTGACTCGGAAGCCATGTATCGTGGGGGGAGCTTTGTGGGATCGATAGGAACTGATGCATCGGTCACATCCCTGCCGCCAGCGATACCGTATTGTGCAGCCTGTTCTCAAATAGAATCCCATGCCCAGTGTTTGGTGTTTGGGTAAAATATAGCTACAGAGTGTCCGTAGAGGTGTCATCATGTTTGTAAAGCATTTCAATTAGACTGCGCTCTGAGATGGGGTCATACAAAGGTCCCCCGTATAGCCTTAACAGACTGTTGGGGGCAAGTGCTGTTAGCGAGCATCTATGAAGACGGACACGCCCGGCCACCTTTGTCTTCCCGGTGGCGATGTTGACACACCGTACCAGGGACTAATTTGAGACTGAGTCGATCGAGGGGAGGCCCATGATCGTTTCAGATAATCGTCACTGGTGTTGGCCGTGAGTGGGAATCGAACTCCAGTGTAGCACTAACCGCTGCACTGTCAGAAAAAAAGGTGAAAACCCTACTATCATATTTTTGTACTGGCAAAGGAGGTCCCATGATGTAGATGCTCACCCCGAGCTCTCGTTACTCTGATAGTGCGTTGTCTTTGTGCTGTACGCCTTTTGGTGTCCTCTGGTCTAACACCGTTTGAGACGAGGCTCAAAAGAAAGCTGTCTCTGGTGTGGACCAATCAGTTTCAAGGACAATGTATATATTATCAGAGTATGTTTTTTGTTTGCATTCTGACCACAAGCATTGTGGTTAATGCAGACATGATTCCTTGTAAAAGGTTTTAGTTTGGTGTTTTAACATTTTAACACAGCTGTTTTGTTGCCAGAAAAAATGGGAAAAACCTATTATCACCGATAGCTCGGTCCGAGCTGTTTTATTGCCAGAAAGGGTAAAACCCGATTCCTATTTGTCACCATTCCCACAGTGCTGTTTGTTGCTGGCCGCTTGTGGATGCGTTTTTTTGTCGTTGGACCTTGCCGATGGACCTTGCCGATGGACCTTTGCGGCCGATGCTCAGCAACTGTGGGGATACCCCAACATCGATAGCTCAAAACTTTCCGTCGAAATAGCGCGTAGCGCGTCATTCATTCAGAGCAGCCGCTCCCTCCCAAAGACGCCCAACGCGACACACACACACCCTGGGACAGCCAGACACACTCTGGCTGCAGGAAAACCATTGCGAGAACTCGACTTGCGATAAATATATAATTATTATTTTGGGGTACAATAATTTTTTTTTTCCCGATACGGCGATTATCACGATATCAGAACTTAGTAATTGTCTTTAGCAGTTGTATTGATTTGGGCATTTGGTTATACACGCGAATTGGTGCCCTGCAAATGAAGGGAGTTTCTGCTGTTTTGTTGCATTTCCAGCGTGAATGAAGATCGCTTTGAAGGTCTTCAAATGCAGTTGTCCCAACATTAGCCCTGCCATGAACTTGTACCTTTGCAATGGATACCGCTTATATAATGCGCATGCTGCTAGACACATAACTACACACACTTATTAAAACGACTCATCACTGATTGTTGGGGTGAGGCCACGTAATGGATCTTAGCATATCTGTGTCGCTAGACCCTCCACCACCCGACGCAGGCGAGATAGAGAGCAATTCTCGCCGCCAGATTGAGCAGCGATTAGACGCAAGGAACGACGTTTCGCTTGAAACTGCGCCAAGCATTGTCAGCACAAGATCCCCACTCTCGCTCTCCGTGTGAGTCACGTGCTTTCTTAAAAACACATCGGCGACCATGGCCTATTTAGCTCTGTCCGAGATGTTTACTCAACAACTTGTTAGTCTACGTGCAATGTTAGTCTACGTGCAGTGTTTGTCTATGGGCAATGTTAGTTTACGTCCAGTGTTAATATATGGACAATGTTAGTCTGTGAAATGCTCGTCTAAACTAAAACTATTTTTTATTTTAGCAATTTAGCGCTTTTTCAGAAACGACCTGGCTATCACAAATGATAGCTCCATGAAGTTTATTGTAATGTGGACATTTATAGCAGTCAAATACTCTAAACGCGTGTTGATTTTAAATATGGAGGGGAAAACTGGAAGATCTGGAGAAAAATTCACGCAACCACGGGGAAAGAGACTTGCAAACTCCAACGATACAGCAGGCGTCAGGGTCGGGATCAAACCCACGACCTCCTGTACACCAGGCAAGGTAGAATCACTTCTCGCCTCTGTGGCGCCCTCTATGCGCAGTTTTAATCCTTATGCAATGTTAGTCTGGGCAATGTCAGTCTACGTGCAGTGTTAAACTCTGGTAAATGTTAGTCTTGGGCAATATTAATCGTTACAAATTAATTAATAATAATATTTTTTTTATTTTTCTTCGAAAGCCACACTAAGTCATGTGACTCTTTTTCTGGAGGGTCCTGCTACACTGGGTTTTTATTTGAAGACGTTAACAGCCAACCAATGATGGTGACCTAATTTACATTTGGTAGTCCATATTTTTGGAAGCAAATAAAATATACATATGTACGTGAACGAGCACCAACAATCGCGATGTGATATATTTTTTTTATTGCTAAACGGAGGTTACGATTATCGCGGAACCGTGACATCGTGTGATGCCGAGTGGAGCCGCGTGGCGCCGCGTGGCGGGCGCAGCGTGAATCCGCACGCCAGCGCGGGTCATGGGCGGCACCTGGTCGCGAATCGTGGAGCGAGCCGCGTGCTCCCTCCGCCGTCTCCGCGCTGATGGCTCACTCATGCTGCCATACACACACACACAAAGACGAAGAGCCCCCGTATAGCCTTTGCGGACTATTGGGGCAAGTGCCATTCACGAGCACCGATGAAGGCCGGCACGGCACACGACGGCGTGGTGTTGGTTATAGCACCGTGCCTAGCCATCTTTGTCTCCCCACTTGTGATGTTTACACATAGCACCAGGTACTCATTTAAGGCTGAGCCGACCTAAGGGAGGCCCACGGACCGGTTCATGAAATCGTTACCCTTTGTGGACCATGAGCGGAAATCGAACTTGGGTCACGGGGTTCGTAGCGCAGTGCACGTAACCACTGTGCCACCGCTCCCCAGGTGCACACAACGACACATGCACACACACGTACACACGCACGTCAACAGAGGGTGCGTACTGTAATGATGGCTCCTCAGGGCACCTATTTGCCCTGACTTGTATTATCTTTGGGCACACCGTCTGCTGAACTGCGCTCCATCAACCTCCAAACATTCTACTGGGGTTGATGGGATTTCCGTTGAGTGGACAGCGTCAGCTGGCTTAGGAAGAGCCAGTCCCCTGCTGTGTCACGCCTCACTTTGTCGTACCGTTGGACTGCGTGGCAGTGAATGGGCGGCAGGGTGGTGCAGCGCTAACGATGAGAAACCCGACTGGGTCCCAGCACTCGCTCGCCCCCATGTGTGGCACGCGTAGTGGGGCCTGGGTTGCGCGTGTTCCTGAAGAGCACTGGAATGCATTCCAGCTGCCAGAAAATACCCACAATGCTGTTCTCTTTTAAAAATTACCCATAAAGCTGTCTAGAAAATTAGCCATATACCCGTTTAAAAAAGAGTGTCCATAATGCTACGTATGGAAAATAACCCATAATTCTGTCTACAAAATGACCCAAAGTGCTGTCTATAAAAGAAACAATGCTGCGTATAGAAAATTACCCGTAATTCTGTATATAGAAAATTACCCATAATGCCGTGTCTATAAAATTATCCGTAATGCTGTCTATAATTATACCATAATGCTTTGTCTATGCAATTACCCATAATACTGCATCTAGAAAATTACCCATGAAGATTTTCTGCCCAGAAAATCACCCATAATGCTGTTCTGCCCTGTCGTGAGTGGGGGGCACGGGGTGGGAGGATGGGGGGAGGATGGGGGGAGCAAGGGGTGGGAGGGGAGGGGAGCAAGGGGTGGGAGGAGGGGGGGGGCGGCAAGGGGTGGGAGGGGAAAGGGGTGGGAGGAGGGGAGCAAAATGTGGGAGAGGGGAGCAAGGGGTGGGAGGAGGAGGGGAGCAAGGGGTGGGAGGAGGGGGGGGGGCAAGGGGTGGGAGGAGGGGGGGCAAGGGGTGGGAGGGGAAAGGGGTGAGAGGAGGAGGGGAGCAAAAGGTGGGAGGAGGGGGGGAGCAAGGGGTGGGAAGAGGGGGGGGGGAAAGGGGTGGGAGGGGAAAGGGGTGGGAGGAGGGGGGGAGCAAGGGGTGGGAGGAGGGGGGGGGGGGCAAGGGGTGGGAGGAGGGGGGGGCAAGGGGTGGGAGGGGAAAGGGGTGAGAGGAGGAGGGGAGCAAAATGTGGGAGAGGGGAGCAAGGGGTGGGAGGAGGAGGGGAGCAAGGGGTGGGAGGAGGGGGGGAGCAAGGGGTGGGAAGAGGGGGGGGGGGAAAGGGGTGGGAGGGGAAAGGGGTGGGAGGAGGGGGGAGCAAGGGGTGGGAGGGGGGGAGCAAGGGGTGGGAGGGGAGGGGAGCAAGGGGTGGGAGGAGGGGGGGAGCAAGGGGTGGGAGGGGGGAGCAAGGGGTGTGCTCCGTGGCAACCGCGGCGGTGGCGACGGCTGGCCGCGCAGGCCTAGGACGTGTACGGGTAGCGGCACAGCGCTCTGCCAATGAGCAGGAAGAGCACTCCGGCCAGCACGGCCTGCGGGACGGCCAGCGCGGCCACGATGAACGACCAGCCATAGTGCGCCCCCACCGCGCCGTCGGGGCACGCGGAGCGCGCCGGAGGCGCCACGCCTCCCGCTTCTGCGGACACGTAGCCCTCCAGGGAGACCAGCGCCTCCAGCCACAGCACCAGCAGCAGCAACACCAGCAGCAGCAGCACCCCTGCTCCAGCGGGGGAGGGCGGGGGGAGATTCACGAGCGTGCACACACAACACACGAGTCGTGATCCACTCGGCCGTGAGAGGTCTCGGAGACTCTGCAGTGTCATTCACGCAAAGTGGATGGGACACATTCATGCAGTGGGTAGTGGGTGGCAGGAGGAGATGCGTGTGAGTCAAGGCCGTAGCCATGGAGTCAACATTGGGGGGGGACCAAATCCTCCAGGGGGTCAGAAAATAAATCTCAATTTAAAAACTAATTTCCTGTCTAAATTTTTTTTAATAACACATAGGATAGACTTTTTATTAATTTTTTACAATAATGTCTAATAGTGTATTGTATTTATTACATTGCTCTGCTTTTTTCTTTTTTTCCTTTTCTTGTTTCATTGTATGTAATGGCAGAGATTAGGGATTGATAAAGTACAACCATAACCACAATCATATAAACAGAAATCTATTGGATAGCAATATTTTAGGGGAGACATTTTGAGCATATTTGAATATTGAGGGGGATGTGTCCCCCAATATACATTATACTTACGGCCTTGGTGAGAGTACCTGCGTGGAAAGAGCGGTAGTTTAGCGGTTAGCGTACTGCGATACGAACCCGGCTATCCGAGTTTGTTTCCCGCTCATGATCAACAACAGTGGCGAATATTCAAATCGGTCCAGGGCTTCCCCTAGGTCTACTCAGCCTCAAATGAGTACCTGGCGCTATGTGTAAACATTGCCAATAGGGAGACAAAGGCGGCCAGGCGTGATACTGACCACCCACCCCCTCTTGTGCCATACCGGCCTTCATAGGTTCTACTCGCGAACAGCACTTTCCCCAACAGTCTGTTAAAGCTATACGGTTGACCTTTGTCTTCTTGTCTTTGGGGTTGACATCAGACCCCAAGGCCACGTGTTTAATACTCACACGGGAATCCGCACTGCTGGTGGATGCAGAGCCCCCCGTTGTGCGTGCCTTGCACAGCGGGGGGCTCCCGCGTGGACCCCTCTACGGGCACCTCGACACGCCGAGTGAGCGACTTGCAAGCGGAAGGATGCGAGTTCAAATCCTGGTTGGGGTGGGCGGTGGTTGACTCAGCCCATCATCCCTACCTCTATGGTCATTAAAATAGGTTCCGCTTTGTGGGGAAGTCAACAGTGGTTGGCCTATAGATTCGGCTCTCAGAATCTATATATATAAAATCGTTCATGTCTGTGTGTCTGTGTGTGTGTGTGTGGACTGCACTTTCATTGGACGGCGGTTGCCCCTGGCAACGGCTAGCCACGCCTTCGCCGCTTTCATTGGACGGCGGTTGCCCCTGGCAACGAGTAGCAACTTTTCTCCGCGGGGTGGACGCCATTTTTAATAGCGCGGGGGGGGGGGGGGACGGCACCCGTACCCAGCGTTCGCCGGGTGGGAAAATCAGGCAAGGCGGGAGGCTCTGCACGGTGCTAGGCCTCGACACCCAACACGCCACTCTGCGGTAAATTCATACAAATTTCACGTCCTCTACAGAGTGGCGAGGGAGGCAGAGTGGCGAGGGAGGCAGAGTGGCGAGGGAGGGACTCAGCCTCAAAACGAGTAACTGGTGTGGCGTATTAACATCGCCACTGGGGAGACAAAGGCGGCCGGGCGTGGTGGATACAAGTCCCGGGCAAAGCCGGGTCATGACTATGTGTGTATGTGTTTATGTGTATGTCTGTGTGTCTGTATGTATGTGTGTATGTATGTGTCTGTATGTGTTTGTGTGTATGTATGTGTCTGTATGTATGTGTGTGTGTATTGTGTATGTGTTTGTGTGTATGTATGTGTGTTTGTATGTATGTGTATGTTTGTGTGTATGCATGTGTGTGTATGTGTTTGTGTGTATGTGCGGTTATGTATGTGTGTGTATGTGTGTGTCTGCAGCAAGCGCGTGTATGTGTACCTATGGACGCGCGCGCGTGTGTTGTGTAGGGGGAACGGTAGTGTAGTGCTTAGCGTACTGCCTGTGTCTATGTGTGTGTGTGTGTGTCTGTGTGTGTGTGTCTGTGTGTGTGTGTCTGTGTGTGTGTGTCTGTGTGTGTGTGTCTGTGTGTGTGTGTCTGTGTGTGTGTGTCTGTGTGTGTGCGTGTGTGGTGTATAGGAGGAACGGTAGTGTAGTGCTTAGCGTGCTGCCTGTGTGTGTCTGTGTGTGTGTGTGTCTGTGTGTGTGTGTCTGTGTGTGTGTGTCTGTGTGTGTGTCTGTGTGTGTCTGTGTGTGTGCGTGTGTGGTGTGTGGGGAGCGGTAGTGTAGTGGTTAGCGTGCTGTCTGTGTGTCTGTGTGTGTGTGTCTGTCTGTGTGTGTGTTCTGTGTGTGTGTCTGCGTGTGTGGTGTGTGGGGAGCGGTAGTGTAGTGGTTAGCGTGCTGTCTTTGTGTCTGTCTGTGTCTGTCTGTGTGTTTCTGCGTGTGTCTGTGTGTGTGTGCGTCTGTGTGTGTGAGGAGCGGTGGGTGTAGTGGTTAACGCTACGCTGCGCTACCAACCCGGCGAACCGAGTTAGATTCCCGCTCATGGCCACCACCGATCAAGATTATTTGAACCTCACATAGGTCGACTCAGCCTCAAACGAGTAACTGGTGTGGCGTATTAACATCGCCACTGGGGAGACAAAGGCGGCCGGCCGTGGTGGATACAAGTCCCGGGCGAAGCCGGGTAGTACAGCTAGTCATCATATATAATTAGACTGGAGGAGGAATCCGATAAGCTATGAAGCTCTTTTTCACAGGATGTCCAATAGGGGTGGGTCAGAAAGTTACAACAAGTCCTGGTCCACAGCTCTACGACGACTATTTTTTTATTTTTACCAGGTAAGACCCACTGAGCTACGAAGTGGCTTATCACGTGGACATTATCGCAGCCAAATACTCTAAACGCGCGTTTCTAAATGTGGAGGGAAAAACCGGAGGACCCGGAGAAAAATCGGCACGACCACGGGGAGAGAGACACGCACACTCCTAATATCGAGGCGTCAGGGTTGGTATTGAACCCAACGACTTCCTGTATATCGGGTGAGGTAGTTAACATCTCGCCACCACTGCACCCTGCAGGGCAACAACGCCTCCCATGCTGATTAAGCGGCAGCGAACCGCTCGCTATACCAGGCCAGTGGTGTCCTCACCAGCGGCGACGAAGATTCCGCCTGCCACCTTGTAGGCCAACGCGCTGTTCTTGGGAGAAGCGCAGATGGCGAGCAGGCCGGCAACCAACACCAGGCCCAGGGCCACGAGCAGCAGCACGGTCCACGACTGGCGCAGGGCTGCAGGGACACACACACAGACAAAGGTCACCCATGTAGCCTTTAACAGGCTGTAGAGTAAAGGGCTGTTAGCGAGCACCTATGAAGGCCAGGACGGCACACGAGGGGGTGGGTGGCCAACACCACGCCCGGCCGCATTTATCTCCCCAGTGGCGATGTCAAAACATCTCGCCAGGTACTCATTTGAGGCTGAGTGGACCTAAAGGAGGCCCAGGCCGGGTTCGTGGTACGAACCGTCGCCGCCTCCCCCGCTCCACACACGCGCGGCGCTAGCGGCCTGCAGAGGGCACCTGGTAGCTCTCCACTCGCGCCCCGTGTGTGAGAGCAACACATGGCAGGGTGTCACCCCTCACCCCGTGTGTGGGGAGTAACACTCGGCAAGGTGTCACCCCTCACCCCGTGTGACTCTGTAGGGAAATACATTAGTGACCAAGGCTGCACATGGATCTTCTCCTCACTCTTCGCATATGGGTGGAGCCTGGGAACGCATGATCGGGATTGCTCGACGCATTCTCGACTCCATGTTGTGTGATGTCGGGTCCACACGGCTCTCTCACGAGGTCTTGACCACTCTCATGGCCGAGGTCTCAGCCATAATTAATTCAAGACCCCTGATCCCCGTCTCAACCGACCCGGAGTCACCATTCATCTTAACTCCTGCTACACTTCTTACCCAGAAGACAGACGTGCTCACAGCACCCACCGAGGAGGTCAGCACTGCAGACCTCTACAGACGTCAATGGAGACAAGTGCAGAGCTTCGCCAACACGTTCTGGCGTCGCTGGAAAAACGAATACCTTGCGACACTCCAAGTGCGCAGCAAGTGGCAGTCGAACAGACCAGATATCCAAGAAGGTGACCTCGTCCTACTGAAGGACAACCAAGCCAAACGGAATGAGTGGCCAATGGGCCGCCACATCCTCAAGTCAATTCCCAATGCCGATGGAAAAGTTTGAAAGGTCGAGGTTATGATAGCGAAGTAAGGTGTCGCAAGAACTTTCGTCAGGCCTATAGGTGAGACAGTACTACTTTTCTCTCGCAAAGATTTGGACAACTAATTTGACCCGTTGAAGTTGTTACACATTTGTTTATGAGATAGAAAATAAATGGTGGTATCTCCTAGATACCGGACAGGGAGTGTTCTGCCTCACGGCAGGTGTTTTGCTCCACGGCAGGAGTGGGGATGTGTGTACACAGGAATTTCCTGTTTTGAGGTTGAGATTGGTCACGTGAACAGGAAGTTACGAGGCTGGCGTCCGCCATTACACAGAGTTCAAAATGGTGGCACACATTGCGTTCCAGTGTTGACAGCTGTAACTGTACATTGTGGGACTTTAAGAAGCATTGTCTGTAAGTTTGTTTATGTTTTTATAATATTGGGGATGCTGTTATAATGTTAGAACGACCGTTATAATGCTGTAAATGCCTTTATAATGCTGTTAAATTGTTATGATAAATACGAGGTCTAGTAAACAACGAAGCCTGCAACCTGCCTTATTGTGAATGTTACTTGTAATTGAATAAGTCGAGTCAGACTTGTACCCAAGTAACTATATTGCGATCTTGAGAGCAAGGATGACGAAATGTCTCATCCACAGTTATATGTAGTGCTGTACATTTGGGGTGCAGTGTGATGATTACACGATGTGCCTTTATTTAACACAGTAGCTTATTCTCTTGTATAGCTGTTCAGTACTAATGTAGGTGCCTGGTCCATTCAGGATCTACTGTTGAGTTTCAGGTTATCTAAGACAATGTTATGATGCTGTAGTGTTCATTCATTGTATTGATATTTCCAAGTATTAACAGATGCTGTATCTGTGCTGTGTTTTTCCATCAGTTTTACCTCGTTCAATTCAATAAATTACATGTGGAGTCAAATGTTCACCCTGGCCTTGAAGGTTTATTGGTTGCGAGGTTAACTACTTGGATAGAGGTGCAACGCAGCGCACAGCGAGGCCGAGACACTGTGTGTGTGTCTCTGTGTGTCTCTGTGTGTCTATGTGTCTGTGTGTCTCTGTGTGTGTGTCTGTGTGTCTCTGTGTGTATCTGTGTGTCTATGAGTCTCTATGTGTGTGCGTGTCTATGTGTGTGTGTGTGTCTGTCTGGCAAAACAACCCCCTACCTCCTCGCGGTGCCGGACGGGCAACACTGTCATGGACAGTGTTGTGGGGGGAGGGCCAATGCCCATTGGCCTCTCCCCTCATGGCGTCTGTGACCACCACAGTGGCTAAACGGGGGCTGTGGACGGGTGCAAGGGGCTGGTAACCCCTCCACCTTCAATTAATTACCACGAGACTACGAATTAAACATAAACATGTAACAAATAAGCTTGTGCCGGAGGCCCCGGGGGGTACAGGCGTCTATGACGTTTCCCGGCCAAACCCCAATTGGCGGAGCCAGGAGGTTGAATCTTCACCCTCGGGGCTCCTCCAGAAATAACGAAAAACCACTTCGCGTGGCCACGTAAAATGTTCGAACGCTCACTGCGGAGGAGAGGCTGCCACTCCTTTGTCGGGAGCTGGACCGGTACCGCCTGGATCTCTGTGGTATTCAAGAGGTCCGGTGGACCGGTTCTGGCTCCTGCCACCATGAGGGGTGGACAGTCCTCCACTCGCGGCAGGAGACTGCCAAACAACAGGGTGTGGCTCTTCTTCTGAACAAAAGAATGAAGGGGGCGTGGAAGCGTGGCAGTGAGGTGTGGGAAGCTGTAAGCCCCAGGATTCTTTGGGCTCGCCTTCCCAAAGACCGGAGGCGAGGAGTGGTGGTCGTGGTTACTTATGCCCCCACCGAAGACGAACATCCGTGGAGGGATGCAGGCAAAGCCGATGAGTCAGATGCCTTCTATGACCTCCTGTCACAGGTGCTGGCTAAAGTGGCCACTCGGGACAGAGTCATCTTGTTGGGTGACTTCAATGCCCGAGTTGGTCATGATGCTGGCACCTGGTCTGGAGTGATTGGAAGGCATGGGCCCGATCACCTCAATAACAACGGTAGAAGGCTGTTAGATTTTTGTGCAGCCCATGGGCTTGTAATTACCAACACGCTCTTCCGGCATCGGCGCATCCACACAACATCATGGATGCATGCCGGGTCCAAGCAAGAACATCTGCTGGACTATATAGTGACGGACCAGCGGATGCAAACCCATGTCCTTGACACCAGGACCTACCGTGGAGCTGATCTGCCCTCTGACCATCGACTAGTCATCTGTAAGATGCGCCTGCCATTCTTCCGCTCCGGTGGTGGGTGTACACCCAGGACCCCATTCCAACCAAAAGTCGCCTGGTCTCAGCTGATGAAAGTTGCAAGCGAGAATTTCATCATCGCTTGCAGCTGGGGTTGGCATTGTCCCCCACTCCTCCTGATGTCGAGGGTAAATGGGCGAGGTTTAGGACTTTGACTCATGCAGCTGCAATGGCTGCCTTGGGTACGCGGTCCAGACCTCCCCAGAAACCCTGGCTGACAGAGGAGGTGTTCAAGTTAGTTGAGAAAAAGCGACAGGCCCACTCTCATCGGCTATAGTATCCCACGTCAGAGAATGAGGAGGTTTACCGCACCCTTCGCTCGGGGGTTCGGAGAGCCGTAAGGCGCTGCAAGGATGGGTAGTGGTCGCGGCTTGCTGAGGAGATGGAGTCTGCCTCAGTGGCCCGTGATTACAAATCACTATTTAATTCCATCAAAAAGTAACCTGCAGCACCACACCTATTACCATCATTAGGGGAAAAAACGGTGATCCAATGTCCGACCCCCAGGAACAGGTTTGCAGATTTGCTGAGCATTTCTGTGAGGTCCTGGGGGAGGGGAAATCCCTCAGCCTGGAAAACATCATGGCACAAAGTGGGGATAACCCTGCTGAGGCTGCGGTGCCTCAAATATTGGAAGACGTCACCCCTGTGAGTGGCTGGCTGAGGTGCCATCGGTTGAGGAAGTACTGAAGGCGATCCGGAGTCAGGAAAGGCACCGGGCAAAGATGATCTCCCAAGTGAAATGCTCAGGGAGGGTAGCGTTTGTGCACAGACTGCCCTATATGACATCATAACAACAGTCTGGACCACTGGACGGGGTCCGCAGGATTGGAAGTGTAATAAAGGACTCTCTCTCAGATGTCGATCTCCGTTGTCCTTTATTTGGTTCATAGAATCTCGTTACCACGGCGTCCTCGTTCAGGCCCGCGTCCCTCCCGACGATCTGTCCACAGCCACTCGGCTGCTCCGATATGCAGTCTCCCTGCTGCTCCGTTAGGCAGTCTCCCTGCTGCTCCACCTTGCAGCCACACCACTGCTCCGCTCTCTAGCTTCACTGCTGCCCCGTATACAGCTAGCCTCCCACAGCCGCTAGCTCTCTGCGTCTGACACCGATGGCTGACAGCGTCGACGTCTCCCACCGCGTGGCGACCGCGCTACTCTCTCCGTCCTGCCCAGCGTGGCCTCCTCCTGTTTCACTCCGTCTCCACTCCCCTTTTCCCTTCCGGTTCTCCCCCTAAATCATCTCTCCCACATGACCCTAACTCCACCCACTCCCCACGTGACCCAGACTCCGCCCCCCCTCAATCCTTGCTCGCATTACAGAAGGATGCCCTGGTGGTCCCCCTCTTTAAGAAGGGGGAGCGCACAGACTGTAACAACTACAGGGGCATCTCACTCCTCAGTGTGCCGGGAAAGGTCCTGGCAAGGATTATTCAACATTGCCTTGCTAGGCACGCTGAGGAGAGGCTTGCGGAACCCCAATGCGGTTTCAGGAAAGGGCGGTCCTGCGCAGATGCCATATTTTCTGTCCGTCTGCTACAGCAGAGGTGTAGGGAATTCCAATAAGACCTACATCTCTGCTTTATTGACCTGGTCAAGGCCTATGATACCATCAGTAGGCCTGGGCTCTGGGTTGTTCTTCGTGCTTTCGGAGTCCCTGACCCTCTGCTCACGATCATTAAGGACCTTCATGATGGTGAGCGGGCCCAGGTAAAACTACGTGGCCGGGAGTCAGAGCCTTTCCCTGTACACCTTAGGGTGCGACACAGATGCCCTCTGGCTCCAACATTATTTAACATCTATTTTGACCGCGTAGTTCGTGAAGCCTTCAATAACTGTACCGGGGGAATTTCCATTTGGTACACATATAATGGGAGGCTGATCGATGCCCGGATGCGATCATGGGATGGATCCCTATTGGTCAACCACGTTATGTATGCCGATGATTTGGTAATAGCTGCTCATTCAGAAGAGGATTTGGAGATGCTGCTGTTGAGACTGGAGCGTGCCACTAAGAGGTGGGGCCTTACCATCCGCCCCACCAAAACTAAGCACCTGCCTGGGTATTTTGTACCATCGGACACTCCACCCCCACAACTCCCAATCGGTGATGGGGCAGTAGTGGAGAGAGTGGAGAGTTTCCCATACCTGGGCAGTGTGCTTATGACCGGCTCCAGTTTAACAGCAGAGGTCTCACTCCGAATCAGTTGAGCGGCAATATCTTTTCATCGGTTGCGTAACACTGTGTGGAAGCTACCTGGTCTGTCGCTCCGACGCTCACAACAACGAGCGGAGCGCTGGGTGGCTAAAGCACAGCAATTTGGTACAGTAGGGGGCACATGTGGTGCATCAGCCAGTCATCTCGGTCATATCAGTCAGTCGACCCGTGGCACCTGGGTCTGCCCCGTGACCTCCTGCCAGCGGGCGTTCGACACTTCATGTGGCCTCAAGGCGCACATGGCCTGGCACAAGCGTCGTGGTGACGTGACCGCCACTTAGTGGCGAATGGCGGTTGTTGTTGTTGTGTGTGTCTATGTGTCTCTCTGTATGTGTCTCTGTGTGTCTATGTGTCTGTGTGTATGTTTATGTGTGTGTGTTCTCTCTGTGTGTGTGTCTATGTGTCTGTGTGTGTGTTCTCTCTCTTCCTGTTCTGCGTATAGAGTCTCTGCGTGTGGAGTCTTTGTGTGTCTATGTGTCTGTGTGTGTGTCTCTGTGTCTGTGTGTGTGTTCTCTATGTGTCTCTGTGTGTGTCTGTGTGTCTATGTGTCTGTGTGTGTGTTCTCTCCCTCACTGTTCTGCGTGGGTTTCCTTCAGGGTCTCCGTTTTCCTCCCATAAGATAAAATAATAATAAAAATTACGTACAACGTAACCGGTATTGGCCAAAAATGCCAATGCTGAAACATTATAATGTAAATGAACTAAATTGCAAAAATGTCAACCCATACGGTTTACCCCGTATTCTTGTATAAAGAAATTTAGTTTTTAGGTCCATATGGCATACAGGCCTTTCAATATGGGACTTTTTTTGTGTTTCTCCCTTGATGGAACTTTGTAGATGAACGTTGAGATTTATTAGGAAAAGGGGTGATCAATAATGTTTGAATTGGTCTGTAATAAGGTAGGCACTGATAAGGGGTTGACAGTTATGCAATTGGGATTGCACAGCAGCAGCAGCATCAACATCACTACCTCCTGCAAAAAAACATGGCAGGACCCGCCTGAAAAAGAGCCTTGAGACTCGGCGAGGCTTTTTCTGGACAAGCCAGCAGAATAATAATAACAATATTCCTGCATTGTTGCCTTTGAGCAGCACTCACCGAACAGCTCGTGGCTGTCAGCCGTCGAGTTTCCTTGCAACGCTTGGTCCGGCAGGGGGAAGAGGCGTGAGGGGGAACAGTTCTTCCTCCCGTGGGGGGCTGTGGGGAGAGGGGGGGGGGGGACACGGACACGAAAACGGGAATCGTACTGCTGTAGACCCCCAGAGAGTATTCCATCACCCCCTCTCATCCGGGGCCACGGGGGTGGGTGGGCTGTTTTATGGGACGCGGAGTCCGTGGGGGGACAGCTCGCGCGCGTCAGCAGGGCTCCACGGGGTCAACCTTCGTTCCCAGGGGCCGAACGAGAAACTTCCCAGGGTGGAGGGAGGGCGGGGCTTTGAGGTGGTCCAAGAATTCCAAGCTTTTTAAAACGGGTCCCCCTACATGAATAAAAGATACTGACGCATTCAATTAATTTCTTCTGGTGAATGTCAATAAAATGCCAATGCTTGGGGGTGGTCTGAAGGAGTGGGGGGGGGGACGATCGATTCCCCTCTCTCCCCGCCGCGGGTCCCTTGGATCCACTACTCACAGCACGAGCATTGCGGCCGCGTGCGAGCGGTGGCGCAGTTGTTGGTGCACAGCTCTATGTAGGGCGATCGTAAACCCGGCGACCCGAGTTCAGCTCCTGTTTCGTGGCCGATGTCAGTGAGCGGTTTCACTTTAAATCGAGGACCCGATGGTTGCCGACTGCACGTCGCCACGGTGGCGAGATGTTAACTACCTCGCCTGGTATACAAGAGATCGTGATTTCGATCCCGACCCTGACGCCTGTTATTTGGATTTTGCATGTCTCTCTCATCGTGGTCGCGTGGATTTTTACATCCGGGCCTTCCGGGTTTTCCCTCCACATTCAGAAGCACGCGTTTAGAGTATTTGGCTGCTATACATGTACACGTGACGAGCCACTTCGTTGATCTGTCATTTGTGATGGCCAGGTCGCTTCTGAAAGAGAGTTACGTAGCTCAGTGGGGCCTTACCTGGTTAAATAAAAAAAAATCGCTTAAATAGTAAAA